ACAGCACTTCCTACCCTATGGGTGTATTTCTACATGCATGAAAGAATGCATTTCTTACTTTTTTTATGTAACTCATAACTCATAACCAGGAACAAACACCTCTTTACCCACACCATAGTCCAGTTTCTTTATTATTCTAGTGGAAAGCTGGATCTCCTATTGACTCCTTCACAGAAGCCAGAACTCCACCCTAGCCACCCATGCTTCCTAAGAACGGAACTAAAGGGTCAGATAGAGCTGCCTTCCCCTTGTGGAAGAGCCTTTACTGTGACTCACACTCATCTTTCTGGTTGAATGCTGGGCCTAGCTTGGCTCCTTTTTAATCCATTTCCTTCCATCTTCTTTCTTCATTCTTCCTCCCTTCCCTTCTTTTTTAAGACAGGGTTTCATTATGTATCTCAGGCTGGCTCGGAACTCAAGATCTCTTGCCTTCAGATTCCAGAGCGCTGGGATTACTGGTGTGAACCACAAGTACCTGGCTCCTCCGTCACTTCCCTCTTCCCTTTACAGACAGGGTCTCATACATCCCAAAAGGGGACCTTATATTTCCTATGTAGTCAAGGATGACTTTGAACTTCTGAGTCTCATGCCTCCACCTTCCAAGTGCTGGTGTCACAGGCCTGAGTCATCATGCTTAGTTTCCCTTTAATCATCTTAAGAACTTCAAATACGGCCAGTGAGATGGTTCAGTGGGTAAAGGTACTTGTTGCCACGCCTGAGAACCTGAGTATGACCCCCATGGTAGGAGAGAATTGACCTCAAAAGCTGTTCTCTGACCACCATAAATGCTCCATGCCACAAGGTCATCCTCACCCCCAAATAAATATATGTAAATAATCAAACAAACTCTTCTAATTGCATGCTAAGTGATTCTGGTTATATCCATCTGAGAGAAATGCCATTGGAAACAATTGTATATAGCATAGGAATATAATTATTACCATGAAATCTATGTAAAGGTATCTATAATCTATTAGTAAAGCAAAACAAGTTATGAAAATATGTGCATAGCATTAGCCACTTTCATGTAAAATATGCACAGGAAAGGCATGGAAAGAAACACATTGTATTGTCAAGATTACTTCCAGGATTTCTAAGTAACAGGATTATAGATGGTTCATTCTTTCTTTCTTGTTTTTCTTTTTTTAAATGTAGCCCTGGCTGGCCCACAACTCCATATGCAGATAAGGCTGGCTCAGAGTGATTCAGCTGCCTCTGACTTTCAAGTGCTGGGATTACCAAGGCATGTACCACCACGCCCAGCCTTATTAAAAATATATATATATACATATACATACATATATACACGTCTATATATTTTATGTGTCTAAGTGTACTGCCTGCCATGTATGTTTCACATTCATGCCTGGTGACCACAGAGGCCAGAGGAAGGGACCAGAGCCTTTGGACTGAAGTTACAGATAGTTGTGAGCCAACATATGGGTGTGGGAACTGAACCCAGGCTTTCTTCAAGAGCATCAAGTGCTCTTAACACTGGGTCATCTCTCCAGCCCATTCTTATTTTAAATACTTGTCTGTATTTGTCTTGCTGAAATAAACATGACTTTCTTATTCAATAATATATATATACATACATACACATACATACACATTTTTTTTTTAAAGATAGGTTTTTGCTATGTAGCCCTGGCTGGTTTGGTAACCACTCTGTAGTCTGGGCTGGCCTTAAACTCATGGCAATCCTTCTGCCTCAGTCTCCTGAGTTCTGGGAAACAAGATTGTTCCCTAGTAAAGTGTTGAAAAGGACAGCTGTGCTACCTTCTTCAGCCCTGACCTCCCATCCTTGCTCTGAAAGTCCTTGTTTGTCATCTGTAGCAGCCACGTGGAAACAGTGCAAGGACCTCACTGACCAGTCTAGTGAGATCATACGCTCTGACTCACCATTCATTCATTCATTCATACACACACACACACACACACACACACACACACACACACCCCACTCACAAGCAGCACATACTGAAGGTTCTCAATTAACATGTTTAATTTTCTAGCTCTCTCTAATCATCTCCACTCATAATCTCCTGGCCATTGTGACTTGCCAGAGAAAGCTTCAAAGGAGTTGGGGCTGATTACAAGTCCATGATTCAAATGAAAAATCTTACTGAATTAGTAATCTTTTTTTTTTTTTTTTTTTTTTTTTTTTTTGTTTTTTCGAGACAGGGTTTCTCTGTGTAGCTTTGCGCCTTTCCTGGAACTCACTTTGGAGACCAGGCTGGCCTCGACCTCACAGAGATCCGCCTGCCTCTGCCTCCCGAGTGCTGGGATTAAAGGCGTGCGCCACCATCGCCCGGCTGAATTAGTAATCTTTTACTTTTGTTTTTTTCTGTGACAGGGTTTCTCTGTCATGTGTAGTCTTAGCTGTCATGGAACTCTCTCTGCAGACCAGGCTGGCATCGAACTCATAGAAATCCACCTGCATCTGCTTCCCCAGTATTAGAATTAAAGGTGTGTGTCATCACTGCCTGGCCAATCTTTTACTTCTTAATATATTAGCAAAAATTTCCACATTTTTGTCACATGCCTTCACTTGACATAAACCCGTTACCCCTGTACCTCTGACTCATTTATTTGGCCTCATTGCCTACCTGTGCTTAATTGCTGGTATTAAGGTTACTCTGAAGCTTAAGATAAAATAAAATGTAATGTTTGAAGTCAACCACTGTACCATGCTCCACTTTGAAGAAGGCTGGGAAATGTGGGCTGGAGAGGACAGCTGAATTCACAAGATAACTAGAAAAGCCTGCACATTAACTTTTTTAGGGATCTACCTAGTAGACCCAGCTGACCCAGCTGGAGAAGCAGAATTGTAAGTAGCCTGAAGAAGGGCATTATACTGCTGTCAATCTTGACAGCACATCTCTCCACAATCTGTACTATCTATCACTTTGCTGTAAATAAAGCTATCTTGCTACTAAAAAAAAAGGCATTATAAATGAACAAGAGTCTGCAAGGAAGACAGAGAGGACTTGGGTGGTTGTCTTTTGCACTGTGCATGGGGAACAGTGATCTGTCCCACAACTCCAAGCATTCCTGCCTACGTGGCATGAATATCTTTGGCAGCATCAGAAATCCATCCATCTATCTCATGTAAATCTCCTTGAGCTTTCAATCCGGTCTCACACTGCTTACTGGTCATTTCCACTTGAATGTGCCACAGATCTCAAAACTAACAAAACAAGTTAAACTCATTATCCTACGGAGCAAACCGCTCCACTCTCCACTATTTTCTACCTAGAAGATCTTCTAAAGCCTCTGGGACCAACCCTTACTTCACCTCACTGGTCTACCATCTGTGTTCTTCACCCCTCACTGGAGCCAAGGTGAACTCTCAAAACTGTCCCTCACCAGAAGAGCCACACCTTTCTCACTGTTCTTTAAGTCCAGAGGTTTCATACGAGGTTTATGCTAGAGCCTCTGTGTCCTGCTCTCCAGTACCATGTCTTATACTCCTGCCTCTTTGCACATCCATGACCTCTTAGTTCAGTGGATTCCCAAGCTGTCAGCACAAAACTGCCATCAGCCTTTGCTAGTCTCCACACCCACCAGCCTGAGCATAAGCTTTGTGGAGCTAAGGGCTGTCTCCAGCTTGCTTACCACAGCAGCTTCATTTAGGAGGCTCTTCATCCCATTTTTGGTTTTTTGAGACAGGGCCTCTTTACGGAGCCCTAGTTGTCCTAGAACTCATCATGTGGACCAGGCTGGCCTCAAACTCAGAGAGATCTGCCTGCCTTTGCCTCCCAAGTGCTGGGATTAAAGGTGTGTGTGTGCACCACCATGCCTGGCCTTAGTAGGCTCTTAAAAATATTTTTAAAAGTGTAAAAACAGGAATTTCTTCTCACATTTTAATGCCCCTGAAACTGTCATTTACCTTATATTCAATGGCATATCACTGTTTAATTTACAACATTTTCTCAGCAGCATATAAATTAATTTTACAACTTAAAGCAACATGGATTCAATGAAGTATGGTGTTCACCATTTAGATCATTACATTACCTTCTTTTGCTAATTCTCTATCCCTGGCAATCTTCTCATAATTCAGCTTCTAATATAGAGTTTAGTTTAAGCAAACAATGTTGACCAAAAGGCATTAACAGTTCTGGCCTGGGCTGGAGATGTAGCTCTGCAGTAGAGGACTTAACTAGCACATGTTGAGACCCTAATCCCTAGGACAGAAACAAACAAACCTGATTTGAGAGATGGCTCAATGGTTAAGACCACTGGCTGCTCTTCCAGAGGACTTGGGTTCAATTCCCAGCAACCACATGGTGGCTCACAACCATTTGTAACACTAGTCTCAGGAATCCAACACCCTCTTCTGGCCTCTTCACCAGGCAAGCATATGATACACAGATATACATGCAGGCAAAACATCCATACACATATAATAATAATAATAATAATAATAATAATAATAATAATAATAAGTCTTCCAAACTACTTGCCATTCACATATAATAAATAAGCAATTTGATATCATCAGGACCATGTAGCATATCTAAGAACCTCTGATCTTGAGCTGCTGACTACAGTGAGCAAAGCCCATTCGAGAACCAGACCCCGTGATGATGCTTCCTACATTTATAATGTCCAATATACCTTGTTTTATTACTTGTTACATTAAATAGTAACAGAATCACCGAGTGTCCAGTTAGAGTAAAGCTGTGTTGAGCAAATTATTTACTCTTTAACCTCAGCTTCTTTATTTTAAACTAAAGACAACAACCCCCCAAATAGGTCACTGTGGAATAAACACAAGCTCGTGCTTAGAGCAGCATCCGGCACACAGGTGCTCAGAGTTATTGTCACTATCACTGTTAGTCAGTGGACCATTTCTGGAGGGCAGAAACCAGTTCTTCATTCATCCTGGTGTCCTTACGCACGTGGTATGAGGACAATCAGCAAACATTCTGCTTTAAACTTACCCTGTGCCTAGACTGTACTAGGAACCCTGCCTGATGGTGGTCAGCTTTCCTAGGTAAGATCTGCCTTATGTGGCTGGAGACATGACTCAGGGGTTAAGAATACCACTGACTGTTCTTCCAGAGAACTCAGTTTCAATCTCCAGCACCCACATGGCGGCTCACAACTGTCTGTAACTCTAGTTCCAGAGGACTGGACACCCTTACACAGGCAAAACACCAATGCACATAAAATAAACAAAAGATCTGCCTTACTTTAACTGCCAAGAAATAACTCAATCGATGCTAGTTCCCACAATGGGTGTGATTCCCACCCAAACAGCTTCTACGTATAAATGTCATGTCATCCGGCTTTCTCTCTTCTCCTCTAAAGCTCTCTAATCCTGTATTCTCTCAGACACTACAGTCATTCTTATTTAATGCCATGGAACTAGAGGGCAACCAGTTGCACAATTTTGCAAGCGAGGCTTGTTAAACCCACCATCCTGCTGCTTTCCCAGCTTTACCATCACAAACAATCCTGAAAGGCAGATGAAAGACAGGATGGGAGGTATTTCAATATTGGTGTTAAACAAAGTCTAATACACTTAACACATCAAGACCTACTGTCAACAGTAAGAAAAGCATAAGCAATTCAGAAAAGACAGATACTACTACTCAATAAACAAATGAAAAAAATTCAATCCTATTTAGTAGTTAAAAGTGCAAATTAATACAAGAAACCATTTCTCACTTATCAAGTCAGAAGGGCTTTCTGGCTCTGGCTGGAGAAGTGGGTTTTCTTTTTTACTTTTTTTGATTTTTCGAGACAGGGTTTCTCTGTGTAGCTTTGGAGCCTGTCCTGGATCTCACTCTGTAGACCAGGCTGGCCTCGAACTCACAAAGATCGGCCTGCCTCTGCCTCCAGAGTTTTGGGATTAAAGGCGTGCGCCACCACTGCCCGGCGAGAAGTGGGTTTTCATGCCCATGTGGTGAGGACAGTTGAGGAGGGTAACTTTGTGATACACACCATCAGGTGAGAAATGTTCATGTCTCTTTGCCCTATTAACCCCATTCCCAGAGCTTTACCCTAAGTAAATAATTGTGGAAATATTAATGATGTTATTCATTACAGCATTATTTATAATAGAAACACTGGACATAAACAACCTAAATATCCAACAGGGTGTTGGCTAAAGAGAAAACATCCTTTACTTTATAGGACTGTTATAAAGGTTGTGCTAATGAAATACTAAGTATAACAAACCAGATAATCTCTGGCATATCTGTACATAAAAGATGGCTACTTTCATAGTAAACTTTCAAGAAGGACCATTATCTAGCTAATAAAATTATATTACTGATAATGATATGATATATGATAAAGAAAGTTAAAAATCATGTTACAGGGTGCTGGAGCAATGGCTCTTCTAGACAGCTGGGCTTGATTCCCAGCACCACATGGTGGCTGAAACCATGTGGAACTCCAGTTCTAGGGGTTCAAGACCCTCTTCTAAATTCCAGAGGCACCAGGCATGCTCATGGCACACATACAAACGTGCAGGCAAAAATAGTCACACACATCAGATAGTCTAAAAACAAGTAAACAGGACCGGGCAGCGGCAGGGGTGCACACCTGTAATCCCAGCACTTGGGAGGCAGAGGTAGGCTGATCTCTGTGAGTTTGAGGCCAGCTTGGTCTACAGAGCGAGATCCAGGACAGGCTCCAAAACACCAGAGAAACCCTGTCTCGAAAAACCAAAAAAATAAAAAAAATAAAGAAAAGTAAATAAAAGCAGGTTGTGATAAAGTATAAAGATCCAACTGTATTATCACATGCATGGACACTGTAGACACAGTACTTGCCTAGACCTTGTTAAAAGCTGAAAGTTGTTTTGTCTGTGGTACTGGTTACTGAGTCTGCTCCTGCTAAGCACATGCTATATCACTGGCTACACGTTTAGCCCTTGGAAGAATTTTTTTTTTTTTTTAATAGAGGGCTGGAGAGATGGCTCAGTGGTTAAGAGCACTTGGCTCTTGCTGAGAACCCAGGTTCAGTTCCTAGTACCCAAATGATAGTTTACAATCATCCTTAATTCCAGTTCCAGGTGATTTAGTATCCTCCTGGCCTCCGAGGGCACCAGGCACACATGCAGTGAACATACATACATGCAGGCAAAAATACTCATACATATAAAATAAAAATAATAAATAAAATCTTTAAAAAAAATAAAATAAAATAGGAGCCAGGTGGTGGTGGTGAACACCTTTAGTTCCAGCATTTGGGAGGCAGAGGCAGGCAGATCTCTGAGTTCAAGGTCAGCCTGGTCTACAGAGAGAGTACCAGGACAGCCAGAGCTACACAGAGAAACCCTGTCTTGAAACCCCCCTCCCCTACAAAAAAAAAATAACAATAATAAAATAGGTTAAATTAGCCAAAATGTTATTATTTGGCTAAATCTTGGTACTCTCTGTGGTAAGATTTTATTTAGTTCCTCATTTTCTTTCTTTCTTTTTTGGTTTTTCAACACAGGGTTTCCTCTGTGTAGCTTTGGTGCCTGTCCTAGATCTTGCTCTGTAGACCAGGCTGGCTTTGAACTCACAGAGGTCCACCTGCCTCTGCCTCCCGAGTGCTGGGATTAAAGGCGTGCGCCATCATTCCTGGTCGGCCCTTAATAAGCATGTGTTCTTCTGATAATGGGGAAGAGGAAAAGCTAAGTGAATTGTATTCTTTTGGAAGAAACATTTAGTGGATGTTTTCCTGAAAGGTACTGAATTTTGGTAAATCAAATCCAATCAACTCGAAGAATATTGAGAAGGCTAGGTGTGAAACCCCATGCCTTTAATCCCAGTACTCCGGAGGCAGAGACAAGGCCATCCTAGTCTACAGAGAGACCCTGTCTCAAAAAATAAGACAAAACAAACAAGTCATTTACAGTTGACACGGTGGCACACACCTGTAATCCTAGCGTGGGAGCCAAAGGCAGGAGGATTGCTATGGGTTCCAGGACAGTCTGTGCTTCAGTAGGACAGTCTGTCTCAGAAAACAAAAAACAAAGACCAAACACACACAAACTCAAAAGGCATTCACATTAACACATCTTTTAAAAGCAGTTATAAATATAAGAGAAAATTTCAGTATTGTAGATCAATTTTTGTCTCCTAGGCTTAAAGTGAGATTTTCACTTACAAAGCAAATCTGTGCCAGGCATGGTGGTGCACACCTCTGACCTCAGCACCTAGGAGATCAAGGCGGGAGGATTGCTGTGAGTCTGAGACCAGCCTGGGCTGCACAGCAGGACTTCACCTCCAGACAAGACAAAACAGGAAAATAACATAAAGTTATGTTTGGGTTTAAAGACATATCCCCAAATGACTACCAGCGAGCAGGTGGGGCCATGTGTGCCCTGCCAAGAAATCCTTACCAGTGTGCGTCTTCATGTGCTCATCGAAGTACTGCTTCATGTTGAAGTCCTTGCCACACCACTGGCACATGAACTGCTTGTGCCCAATGTGGATGCTCATGTGGGAGCGCAGCTGGTACTTGTACTGGAACCTCTCATCGCAGTTCTGCAGGGGACACAGGGATGGATGGGATTGGAGGCCAAGCACAGAAGCGTCACTCCAGCCTACCCTCACAGCCTTATAGGTTGCTTTCATACTCAAAACACAAGCTGCTTATGGCGGCTCTTTGGATTTGCTATGTTCCTGCAGCTGAAAACAGGGGAAATTTTCTCATGTGATTATCACTGGCTCATACTCAGCTTTTCTGAATCACTGAGAAAGAAAAGTCAGCTACTGCGCATTACTGCCAAGCTAACCTAAAGACTGTGTGCTAACAAGACATTTCTCTTCCTAGCCGTGAGAGACCCCCAAACCCGGCGCACATCTGAAGTGCACATCCGAAGCTTCAGTGGTACCCAGCCTTGTGCTTTGCACCCCGCACTCTGTTCTCACGGCTGCATCATCAACACACCCTAGCTTTGGAGCTGGTCTGGGTATGGCCTGTTCCTTACCTCACATCTGAAGGGTTTCTCTCCAGAATGCTGCAAGGAGTGCACCTTGAGTGACATACTGCGCTTGAAAGATTTTCCACAGGTTTCACATGTAAATGGCATGTCTTTTGTGTGTGCTGTAACACAGAATACATTCAAACTCAAAACAATTCCACTAAAGCACCCAGACTGGAAGGGACAGACGTCCTAAGGTGTGGCCCTTTAACAGAAGTGTTCCGGAGGGAAAGGGACAGCAGTGCTCAGGAGAACTCTAGGTGGAAAGACTGTGCCGTCCGACCTGGCGATGCTTGAGACCTGCTGCATTTAGTCTCAAGGAGTTAAAACGAACAGCAGTATGGCGGCTCTACACAGCCTGCCTACCGTGGAGCAGAGTACTTCAGAGACCACCACAGGCTGAGTGAGGAGGGCAGAGAGACTTACCGACCATGTGTTTCCGCACGTGAGCCATGGTATAGAACTTCTTTTCACAAATCTCACAGGCAAATTTTTTTTCTGCATATCCATGGACAATCTTGATATGTTCATGCAGGGACCAGAGTTTCTTGAAGGATTTGTTACAGGAAACACACTGAGCAGGATAAACAGAAAGAGCCTTTATTTATGGAGACTTCAGGAGGCCATCCTGCCTCCTGGCAGATGAAATGGATCTACTTTAGATTTGTGGCACAAGGTCAGAATCTTGACAAAAAACTATTCCTCCATGGAGTCCACATTCCAACACCAACATATGTATATCCTACTGTCCAAGATCCAGTTTCTAGAAACCTTGGTAGCATATAAACAATGGCAGAATCTAAGGCAAGACTTGGAAAGCTCCACTAACAACAAAGAACTAATTGCTATTACCACTTCAGTGTTGCACTTATGAAAAGAACATTCACTTTGTTTGGCATATATATATACATACACACACACACACACACACCTACACACATATATGTATATATACATACACATACATATATATACATATAAATACACACACACACATATATATAGTTGTTGTTGTTTATTTTGAGATAGGGTGTCTCACTACAGAGCCCAGGGTGGTCTTAACTTACTATTGGCCAAGGCCAGCCTCAAATCATGATTCTGCCTCTATGTCCCAGGTGCAGGGAACATAAGTATACACTAGTACACCTGCTGGACCTTCAGGCTTGCTTATGACATAGACCAGCAAGCACAGCTGTCCCAGTTCAGGGTGTCATACAGTTATGAGGTGTTTACCAGAGAACAGAAGTATGAAATGAGCATAAATAAAGGCAAGATACATAAGCATTATAGATCTGAAGACTATAACAACGTCCTTCTGCATTAGAAAACACCATTTTGAAAAATTCTGTAACAAATGCTCAAGGTTTACTAACTTTCCCCGAATCTAATCTCCTCTGTTGCCATTTCCTAGACAGAAGCACCATAACCTCTAACCGCTGGCCTTTCTCCTCCTCCTCTTTCACACTTCCAGACCTCCTCACATCACAATGCCCAGCTCTTCAAATCATGGCTCATTAGCACCCTGGCATAAAGTATGACAAAATAAACAAAACACCTCTCCAGAGAGTTCTTGACAATGGCCAGGCTCTGAGGGATAAACTTAGAGAACTCAGTTACTAAAGCCTCTTGAGTACCACGGCCACTGCAGGCAAGAAGGACTCAAGAGCTCAGAGACAGGTGCTGGCTGGACATTGCCCTGGGAAAGGACAGACTACCCTGTGAGCCTGAGGTTGCCAGGATTATCAGGAGCTGTACAAAGAAATTCAACACAAGGTTCTTTAGGAATGTAAAGGGCCTCCTTTCTGAAAACTATTTCTTAATTTTTATTTATGTATATGAGTGTTTTGCCAACTGTATATATGTATAGTGTGTGTGTGTGTGTGCCTGGCGCCCAAGGCCAGAAGAGAGTGCTGGATCCCTGGAACTGCAGTTACAGATGGTTATGAGCTGCCATGTGGGTGCTGGGCACAAACTCAGGTCCTCTGCAAGAGCAGCCAGTACTCCTAACTGTTGAACCATCTCACCAGCCTGGGAATGCAGGAGGTTTTCATTCAGCAGAACCACACAACACAAGCACAAGAGAACATACCATAACAAGGAAAAGCACAGACGCTCATAAGAACTGCTGTTTCTGTAACTTTAGCAAATTCAAGTTTTTTAAAAGAAAGAAAGAAAAGAAGAAAAAAGGAAAAGAAAAGAAGAGAGAAAAAGAACCCACAAAACAAGTAGCTCCTAGAGACAGAAATGAGGAGGAACGCCTTTTCAGTAAGGAGCCATTATGAAATCCACGTTTGACCTCTAGGGGGCAGCACTGTACCATGCTCTGTTGGACTGACCCTGCAACCAACTCAGGGTCCCCAGGCACCTGCAGGGGAACACGGCAGAGTCTTTTATTTACCCAGCACGTCTCAATCATGATACACAAGCCAAATCAGTGGATTTTTAAATCTCTTTAAAGGAAGCCACTGACCTCAGTCATTGATTAAAATTAATTGTCAAAGAAAAAATTAAAGGTGATCACCAATATTAGCAGTTCCCAAACCAAAAGTATAACAATTTATCTTTTAAAAAGTCAGCTTTAAAATGGTAGATTATTATACATATGGAAACATAACAGACTTACCTTGTATGAATATACATTTACACACAAACATACGGATAAACCAATATAGCTGCAATGCATTCAACACCTCTTAACCTCTCATAATACAGTTTTTTTTGTCACATTAACAATACTGTACCGCAATGTTATGTAACCTACTGCCAGGTAAGCAACCTTTTCAAACAGCTCAGCCTCTGTTTAAAGTTTGCATATTCCCACGGGCTCGCCTCTTGACACATTTAGTGTTGCCATCTCTCCACGGGTGAAAAGAAACACACTGCAGGAGATCTTCCATTTCCACAGGTCTGAGTCATTATGGTCTCTGTCCCCGTCAGCTGCGCTAGCCTCTGGCATCCTTTTACATAGAAAGGAACCTTGCTCTACTCCTGACCTTCACTCAGTGTCTCCCACCCTGACTGAAGATGCCAGAGTGGATCATCTCCCGGGTCCTACAACAGTGACTCTCAGTGCCAAGCCGGAGCTGACTTTACATCCCAGTCAATCATCTACAACAGATCCCCCTTCCAGTGTGCCTGGGCTCCCACTAGTCCAGCGTCAGGGAAGTGTAACACTTTTGAAATACAGGATTAAGCCTTGGCTTTGAAAAAGACCCAAGCAGCAGCGTCTAAAACGATAAATTGGTGAACTCTGTCCCTTCAGCCTCTATTGTATTTATTCTCTTGGGCAGACACCAGATGACTCTGAACAGCCAGGTTCTATCCTGGAAAGTTTGCCCTCTCGGTGATGAGACCTACCTGAATGTTTTTTTCACAGTCTGTTTGCTGGTGAAGGGACAGCTCACTTTCCAGGACAAACTTCTTGCCACATTTATCACAGATCTGCATGCGCCTGTGAGTAACGTTCATGTGCTTCTCCAGGTACCAGCGAGTATTAAAGACCCTGGGGCACTTCTCACAGGTCAGAGTCTCTTTCTCTTCACACTTAGCTTTCTGGACTGGGGCTTTGGGCTCCTTGGCGGCCCGCTTCTTCCGCTTGGGTAGCTCTGCACTCTTCCTCCGGCCTCGAGTTGTGCGAGGTGTAGGGGAAGTGGTAGCTGCGGCAACAGAGGCAGCTCTCCGGGTTCGCCTTTGTGTAACCCTGACTTTCTCCACTCGCTTCTCCTTTTTCTTCTGCCGTCCGTTCTCTCCGTAGTCGTTGCTGTCGTCTGTGGCCTCCTCCTCGCTCTCTTCCTCTCCTTCCTCGCTGCTTGTCTTAAGAACAGGAGTCTCTTTGGACTGAGAAGAGACACCCTTTTCCCCTTTAGACACATTTAATGTTTGATTATTAAGGTTTACCTCCACTATGATCTGCTCCCTTTTGTAAGAGACTTCCTCCTCCTCCTCCGTGTCGTCAGAATTCTCCCGGTCTTCCTTGACAGTGTGCACCTCAGACACTGCCCTGGTCTCCCTGAAAAATGGCTGTTCCTCCGTCTCGTGGAGATGCGGTTTGCTCATCTTGGTGTCTACTAGCACAGAGTAAGGGCTTCCAGACTCTCGTTTGTACACTTTGGTGGACAGGTCGAGCTCCTGGCTGGCACCGTGGTAGAAGGTGGGTGGCGCCTGACTCCGACGGCTCTCTTCCTGTGCCATCCCTGCGGCATGTGCTGCACGGTTCTCAGCCAGCTCCTCACAAGGACTGGCTGTGTAGCTCATTGGGAAGTGGCCCAGTTTATGAAGCGGTGCAGACTATGGAGAAACCTTGAACACAGGGCAATCAAGACTCCAATCCGTCTCCATCCACAGAGAACTAACCACTCCAGTGAAAACGAGGAACTCCTGGAGCCCGAGTGCAGCTCCTCAGTGTCGGAGCGCCAGCATGTAAGTCAAACCTGGCTGTTCTTACGGCAAGAGCGGAGAGCACTTCTGACTCTCCTCCCAAGAGAGCCACAAGGGACTTGGAACGCCTTATCTACAAAGAGAAAGAAAACGGGGAAAATTATACCACCATTTCCTTCTTAGGCCACGTGTTTCTCACAACATACAAAATTTAAAATCAAACTCCATAAACCATGACGGATGGTTATTATTATTATTATTATTACTATTATTATTATTTTTTGAGACAGGGTTTGTCTGTGTAGCTTTGGTGCCTTTCCTGGTACTCACTCTATAGCCCAGCCTGGCTTCGAACTCACAGAGATCCACCTGCCTCTGCCTCCCGTGTGCAGGGATTAAAGAAAGGCGTGCGCCACCACCGCCCGGCTTGGATGGTTATTATTTTACAGGCTGTGTGAGTTCCCATTTTCAGTCAGAATGTACATTCTATCAGCCAAGAGCCACGTCTGTTAAGTTCATGCTAGCAGATAACAAGTCCTCAATGACTAAATAACTACCTACTGCTGCTGCATGATGTCTGTCGTGCCGGATGCCGCAGGACCGACTGCTATCAGTCTAGTGACACAAGAGGCCGTGGGACACTCAAGGACCCCTACAGGCAGTTTCCTTCAGCATCAGCCACCACATGCACGAGAGGGAGAACCCACAACAAAGGTGGTAACAGGAGCGGTGTGGACCTCTGGTGATTAGGAGTGAACTGTAAACAGAACTAACTGCCTTCAGGTCTGTCAGGGTAAAGCGGAGCATTCTGACATGTGCTGCACAGCTTACTAGATCCCCTCGACAGCTGGGTGGTTTTTCATGTGTCAGTTGCGGAGAAGTCAAAATTCTGAGAATTGGCAACCACTAGGTCGATGTGGTTCTAAGAAAACTAAAACCATCCATTAAAAAAAATCAGAAGGGCATCCAATTTGTTGGCAGCATGCCTCCTAGTGCTGGTTAGCCAGCCAGAAACAGCTGAGTCAAATGACTAACGCCGAAGGAACTGTCCTGTCAGGCTGACAAACGGGGGAAGCCGGGGTTTACTGAATGCCTGTCATGTGGCGGGCACTGGAGAAAATTCTATTCCTATCTACTTTGTACCTACTGCAAAACTTTGGGGTTGATTTTTAGTTAATTCAAAATAAGTAAAGCTTATTTTTTTTTCTTCCTTTAATTGAGACAAGGGTCTCACTATGTAGCCCTGGCTGTCCTGGAGCTCACTATGCAGACGAGGCCACCTTGGTCCCAAGTGCAAGGATTGAAGGTGTAGCCACCACTTCTGGCTTTTTCTTAATAAAACTGGTTCTACTTGCCCTGAATAGATGAAATCGTGCTATATTGTCTTTTCTTAAAAATAATCTTAATAAGAAGCTATTCAGTACACCCGATGCTGAACTGCTATGTTAACTTTAACAAGTCGAACGGGAGTCACCTACGCCTCTCTGACCTGTTCTAGATAAAACAACTCATAATATTAGGGAAGAGAAGGTGTGACCAACTTCATAAAGGTTCATAAAGGGACTAAAAAGTAGAGTTAATTTCTAACCTGAATTTTTACTCTCAATCCTAAGCTGTACCAACAATCTACACCTTAGTAGTCTACCAGTGCAAAAAATGGAGCCAAGGCAGCAAACCACAAAACTGTAAAGCTTGGCCGATTCTCTGGTTTATAAAATAATCATAAGGATTTGCATTTATACAAAGCACTCTGTCACATACTTGTTGAACATTTAAGTGCATCCCATCTGTTAGGTATTACAGGAGTTTTAACAAGCTAGCTAGAAGAGAACAAAGCAGAGTTGCTTCTAGGTACTACCTAATGACTTGCAAGCACTAACAGTCCCCACGTTTCCACACAAGAACAAAACCAAGTATGTATTACTCATCACACAGCCAGCTTAAGCAACTTTAACTTTCACCAAATAAAAGCCCCTTGGGCCAAAGATGCAATCAAATACTAAATAAGCTACATTTCAAGACCTATGGAATTCCAATGAGCGTTCAAAGCACTTTCCATTATTCAGTTCTATCCACAAACATCATCTATAGGCAGAAATATGTTTTAAACAAAAGGAACTGTTTATTTTTAAGGTAAGGAGTTTTGTGTGTATTACTGAGATAGTTTCTATTAAAATTCAACACCTGTCAAGAACCAGAAGAAAACATGGTGTGGCTCTGCCCACCTGTGTGTCCAGGAGGAAGGGATGAGAGAACATCCCAAAGCCAAAGTTATTTTGGTCTGTATACCAAGTTTGATGCTGGGGTACTGGAAGGGCTCAGTCTAGCCATGACCAAGGGTAGTTTTGTAGGATGCACATTTTTAACACAGTAGTCTATCTTTAAGATGGCTAACCAAGGGGCTGGAGAGATGGCTCAGTGGTTAAGAGCACTAGCTGTTCTTCCACAGGTCCAGGGTTCAATTCCCAGCACCCACATGGCAGCTCACAACTGTCTGTGACTCCAGTTCCAGAGAATCCAACACCCTCACACAGATATACATGCAAACAAAAACACCAATGCACATAAAATAATAAATAAAGATGGCTAACAAAAAAGAAAGAAAACCTATGTAGAGAATGAGAATATACAGGAAATGTCTTCTTTACTTAAAAAACAAAAAAACAAAACAAACAAACAAAAAAAAACAAAACAAAAAAAAAAAAAAAAAAACAGGGTCTCACTATGCAGCCTTGGCTGACCTGAAATTCTCTCTATAGATGAGAGTGGCTTGGAACTCACAGAGATCTGCCTGTCTCTGCCTCCAGAGTGCTAGAATTAAAAGTATGTACCATCATGCCTGGCCCTACAATTTTATATTTCACAAAAATTAAAAGTCACAAATACTTTAATTTTTTGAGATAGGGTCTCATATAGTTCAAGCTGGCCTCAAACTATGTAACTCAGAATGACCTTGAACTTCTTTTTAAAATTATTACTAATTTTATGTGCATGGGTGTTTTGTCTGTCTGTCTCTCTCTGTACTATGAGCACAGCTGGTGCCTGAGGAAGCCAGAAAAGGGCATGGGACCCTCTGGGATGGAGTTATAGACGACTGTGGGCCACCATGTGGGTGCTGGGAATTGAACCTGGGTCCTCTGGAAGAGTAGTCAGTACTCTTAACTTCTAAGCAATCTCTGCAGTTCCCACCTTGAACTTCTGACCCCCCTCGCCACCTCTCTTTCCTGAGCTGGGATCACCAGTAGGTGTCTCCACTCCAAGTCTGAAGTAGTGCTGGGAACCAAACTCAGGTCTTCATACATGCTGGCCAAGCAGTCTCACTATACGGCCTAAAGTGGCCTCAATTTTGGGTTCTGTCTTGCCTCTGCCTCCTAAATAGGATTACAGGTGTGCACCACATAGCTTAAACACACACACACACACACACACACACACACACACACACACACACACACACACACTTTAGATGTGTGAATAGTGTCAGGAGATGATGGTGATCTGTTATTCTCTTTCTAGTAAAATTTTTTGGCATTTCAAAAAGTAACACCTTTTTTTGGGGGGAAATTTTTTTTTATCTAGTCTTAGACCAACAGGTATAAATAAATAGTCTAAAACAAAAATATTTGAACAGATGGGAAGGTTTAGTCCAAACCATAACATACCCACAACACAGCCAATGGGAAAGATGAATCACTAACACATCGCCACCTGCCTTTTCCTCCTAGCAAGCCTACATACAACTCTTCTTAGTAGCAACTCTAATACTGTAAGATTCTCTTCAAAATTAAAAATCATCACTCCACCCCCAGAAAACGAGCACAGAAAATTTCATATGCAGTTTTCAGGTTGCTGCCCACTTCTAAAAACATACCAATGAGTCCCTAGGGCCCCAAGCTCCAAGCTAAGAAAAAAGCAGATTTTGTTTTCTTATCTATAGTGTATATTTAGAGAAAGCATATAAATTGAATTTTTCTGTTTTTCCCCCTTAGCTCCCTACCCACTTTTCTTATTTCTCTAGCACATATATGGGTCAGAAATGAATTACCAGGGGCTGGAGAGATGGCTCAGCAGTTAAGAGAACTGGCTGTTCTTCCAGAGGACCTGGGTTCAATTTCCAGCATTCACATGGCAGCTCACAACTGTCTGTAACTCCAATTTCAGGGGATCTGACACCTTCACACAATGCACATACAATAAATTTAAATAAATTATTAAAAAAAGAAATGAATTAACAACATAAAAGGAGATCAAGTTTGAAGTCGTATACAGAAAGGTTAGCACATGGTTTACAGACGTCAGGCAGGAAGCAAAGTACAGCCTCAAGAACTTATTGTGTACCCCAATATGCTACCTGCCCAGGTCTATGACCCCAGACAAGGGGGATAACTCTCACCCATTCTCAGAGTGCTCCCCCAAGGGCTGTTGTGAAGGTTGAATCCAATCTCACAGGCCAAGTTTCCGTGTTATACAGAGGACTGGGTGCTGGCTCCCTTTCCAGTTCTGAAGAGGTTAGAAGTGTGATCGGCAGATCAGAGGTTTATGTATATATAGCATGCTGCATACCCTACTACATAGTAAATGAGAAGAAGATAAAGTAAGGAAAGGGAAAGTTAAAAATGAAAAGGCAAGGGATAGGGAGATGGTTCAGTCAGTGAAATCCTTGCCAAATAAGCCTAAGTTCAGTCTCTGCACTCATGAATACAAAGCTAGACACAGTAGTAGTCTATAATCCTAGTCCTGGGGATGCAGAGACGGGACCCTGGGGCTTGCTGGACAGTCAGTGTAGCCAAATCAGTAATTTCTAGGTTCAGGTTCTCAAAAACACAGTGGAGAGCAGTTAGTGGAGAGACCTGTCATCAACATCTGAGTGTCTACATGCATGGGCATATACACACAAACACAAACGAAGTGAAAGCCACTGGTACTGGTCAGCATATGGAAAGTAGGAATGACCAGTGCAAGGACATTCACACTAAAAGCAAGTTCACACATAGCCTGCATTCCAGGAGATCCTGTCCTATCCCACCCTTGAGACACACACAGACACAGATTGCACTCACTTCCCTCTGCGTGTATCTGCTTCCTGGCTGCTGACACCATGTGACTAGCCAGCCAGCAACCAGCTAGCAAACCTTCTGTGCCAGGATGAACTGTTTTCCCTCCAACTTAAGCCAGAACAAACATCCCTTCCTTAAGACGTTTCAGTCACTGCTTTGTCACCGCAATGAGAAAAGTAGCTGGCACAAAGAAAGTGTCTATGGAGAAGGGGGCTCTTGCTGTGACAAAGCCTGACTGTGTTGTTCACTGGCCCTGGCAACTGGCTTGGGAGAGGAATGTGGAAGAGGTTGGCACTGGAGGCTGAGAAACCCTAGAATGCAGTCTGATGGCCAGTCTAACGGGAGTCTGGAAGACCCATATGTCAATGCAACCAATGGAGGTCTGGTCTAGGGGAACTGGGCTAGTGGCCTTTTACGTTACATTCTGGCAAAGAATTACCTGCATTCTTCCCATGTCCTGAAAATCTGAATGAGACTGAATTCAAATTAATGAACTAAGTTGTTTTGAAAAAGAAATTTTAAACAGCAAATATCCAGGTTGTGGCACAGTTACTGCTTACTTCTCTTAGTCATATCTACAGTGAGAAAAAGCAGAAAAAATATGCTTAGCATATTACTTGAAAAGAGCTGTGACTTTAGGGATATAGACAAAGCAGGTGCAGAGAAAACTGTTAAAGAGATTAGCACCACAGAAGAGCAACCTTCTTAGGAAAAGTGTTCCAGGAGAGGCCCATCTGCAAGGTGAGGCTGGAACTGAAATTGCTGAAGAGCAGTCTCTACTCTGGGAAACCATCTAAAAAATGCCTTCCTGGGGTCAGTCACTCAAGTGCACAGCAAGTGAAGCCTACTTTTCAGTGGAGAAATCAGGATACTGGAGATGCTAGGGTTGTGGGATATCTACCAAGGAAAGTCACCGACAGAATGGGACCAACCCAGGACACAGGCTATGTGTGCCACCTTCAGCAGCGCTTGAAAGCAGGGCTACCCAACATCACTGGAGCTCAGGATCCCATCCCAAGCTTCAGACAGTGTTTGTCCTACTGGGTTTCTGTTTCGTTTGACCTGACTCATTTTCTTAGGGAGGTTTACTCTGTGCCTTTGTATACTAGAAGTAGGTAACTTGGTTTTTACTTCATAGACTCACAGTTAAAGCATTTCTTTGAATCTCAGAGGAGAGTCTAGACTTGGGTTTTTGAACAATATTATGATCTTAATACTTTGGGAACTTTACAGATGAGTAAAATGCATTTTGCAGTATGAGATGGACATAAACCTGTGAGGCGAAGTGGTGAAGTAAGGCTTAACAGTGATGTGTTCAGATGTCAAACTAACAAGGGGACAATGAATCTTTACTGTCAACTTGACTGCATTTGGAATCACCTACGTCTTTGAGGGCACTTTCAAGGAGATCCACTTGGAAGGTGGATGACACCATCCCATGGAATGTGGTCCCAGACTGAATAAAAAGGAGGACATCAGATGAGCAAAAACATTCATCTCTCTGCTTCCTGATGGCACACAGTGTGGCTGGCCACCTCATGCTTCTGTTCAAATACCCTCACACTGTGAGCCAAACTAAAAGAGGAAGGGGAGAGAGGGAGACAAGGAGGAGGCAGAGGTGGTGGAGAGGGGAAAAGAAAAACTACAAACTCCTAAAGAAAAACTATGAACTGAACTTTATTAAAATTAATAATGTTTGTACACTAAAGGATGATTATCAAGAGGATAGAAGCAACACATAGGATCGGCAGGATATATTAATAAATCATAAGTTTGATAAAGGTCAGGTATCCAGAACATACAAGGAACTCTCACAACTCAGCACTAAAAAAACAAACAAACAAATGGAACCAGGCCGAGTAGTGTACACTTGTAACTCCAGCTTTCAGGAGGAAAAGGCAGGAGGATCAGCAACTCAAGGCCAGCCTAGGCTACAGAGCAAATTTGAGGCCAGCCTAGGCTACAGAGCATTCAAGGTCATCCTGGAACAAATAAGATCCTGCCTCAAAAAATAACACTATGGGCTAGAGAAAATAGCTCAGTGTGGCTTCTCCTGCAGAAGACCTGGGTTTGGTTCCTAGCACCTACCCAGTGGCTGACAGCCATCTGTAACATAAGTTCCCAAGATCCAAAGCCATCTTCTGAATTTTACCAGACACCAGGCATGTACATGATGCACAGACATCCATGTGGGCAAAACACTCACACGCATAATATAATAATAATTTAAAAATTTTAAACCCCAAACAGGTTTTCCCTGAGTATCCCCAGCTATCCTGGAACTCCTCTGTAGGCCTGGCTGGCCTTGATTGAACTCACAGAGAGCCACCTGCCTCTGGTGGGATTAAAGGCGTGCATCATCACTGCCTGGCTTGTAATTTTTTTAAAAAGGTAAAACAAGAGTTGGAGAGAATATGGAAAAAGCATAAGCTTCATACATTATTGGTAAATATAAAATGGCACAATTTAGAAAACAGTTTGGTAAGGCCTAAGAAGGTTAAGCAGGGGCTGGATAGCACTGACTGCTCTTCCAGAGGTCCTGAGTTCAATTCCTAGCAACCACATGGTGGTTCACAACCACCTGTAGTAAGATCTGGCGCCCTCTTCTGGCCTGCAGGCATATATGCAGACAGAACACTGTATACATAATAAATATTTTTTTAAAAAAAACAAAAAACATTAAGCAAAGAGAGACTGGGTGACCTAGTAGTTCCACTTCTAAGTACATATCTAGGACTGGAAAACATACACCCATAAAAACTAAAACATTCATAGGAGTGTCATCCCTAACAGCCCTAAGTGAGAGTCATCCAGACCCATGCCAGCTGGGGGAATGTGCACCACCATAGAGTCAAACAGTGTCAGGAACCCAACAGGGAGATGCTGATGCTCAGTGTAACATGGATGAACCCTAAAGCATTATACCAGATACAAACATCCACATCACTGCGGGATTATTTTTATGAGAACTGAGCAGAATAAGCCAATCCACAGACACATCAAGTCAATCCGTGACCAGTGGGAGCTGCAGTTAGGGAGGTATGGCTATCACTGCTAATGGACTCCAGCGTCCGTGAAAACGTTATGGAATTATGCACTGGTTAAACAGTTTTGTGAATACACTAAATACAACAACAACACTGAATTATACACTTAAAATGGTTCTATGCATATAAATTATATCTTAAGAAAGGGCTTGAGATGCAGTTCAATGGTAATGAACTACTTTGCCTAGCATATTTTAGGCCCTGGGTTCAATCTCTAGCATTGAAAAAACAAATCAATAAAAATAATAAAAAATATACTGTCTGAACACAAACAATCCAAAGATTATATGAAAGGAACATAAGTATTTCACATAAAAATGGTACTCTTGACCCCTTGGATAGTTCATCAACTAAATGACAAACAACAGCTGGGCTTGAGATAGAAAATAACAGCTTGAGCAAAACCACCAAAGATCAGTCTCCCCTGGTAGATGCCGGGAAACCAAACCAATGGTGCCTTTCTCCTTTGGGAGAGTACAGGTGAACATAGAGGAGAGGTGGATACTGAGATCTGGGGGGGTTGCACTATGATTAATGAATCATTTTAGAAGATTTTTATTATTATTTATGTGTTGTGGGATATCTGTACACTGTGTGAAGGTGTATTGTTGTGACTGGTGTAATAAAAAGATGAACAGCCACTAGCCAGGCAGGAGGTACATACGGGACTTCTGGAGACAGAGAGAACTCTGGGAAGTAGAAGGCGGAGTCACCAGCCAGATGCAGAGGAAGCAGCATGGGCAGTACAGAGAGATGAGGTAATGAACCACGCAACAGAATGTAGATTAAAATAAGTGGGTTAAGCCGGGCGGTGGTGGCGCACGCCTTTAATCCCAGCACTCGGGAGGCAGAGCCAGGCGGATCTCTGTGAGTTCGAGGCCAGCCTGGGC